TCTCTTGCTTATTGTTAACTTAATGTTTTTTACGAAACGTAAACGAGAGAGATTTTTTTTCTCGTTTCTTTCTATTCAATCGAAATTTCATATTAATATATATATATATATATATATATAATATATATATATATATATATATATGTATATCTATATATAATGAATTAATATTTAAAAAGATTAAATCGTAGAATTTAATTCAAAATGAAATTTAATTTGTCAATAATATATGGGACACGAGTTTTATTAAGAAAACTCTATTTAATTCTTCTTCAAATGAAATGAATTCATTTCACTCTTTTTTTTTTACTTTTTTTTTCTTTTTTTTGTAAAATGAAAAAAGAAGAATCACTTCGCAATAGAATTATTTAATTATTTAATTATTATTAGGAAAACGATAGAAGGAAATGTTACATTTCTTTTTTTTTTTTCTTTCTTTCTTTCAACGTACGTAATTCGATGTAATTGTGTTTGCTTGTAAAAAAAAAATATGAATTTGCAAAACTGACGCTTACATTCCTATTCTTCTCTCTCTCTCTCTCTCTCTCTTTCTTTCTCTTTTTTTTTTATTTTATTTTTTTTTTAATCTTTTTTTTATCTATTTTTTATCTTTCTTTTTATTATTTTTTTTTTTTTTTAAATACGCAATAGGTATATCATAAAGAAAGAAAAATTGTGTTTTCATCGTCCACGTGTAGCGTTCGATCGATCGATCTCACTTGACCTCGAAGTTTTAGCTATTACCTATTACTCAGGATTCATTTAAATGTGCTTGCACAAGTAAATACGATCCGGTCTTGCGAGTCTTCGTCAATGCTTCGAATAACGGCGAGTGACTCTTTTAGCGTTTCTTTTTCTCTCTCTCTCTCTCTCTCTTTCTCTCTCTCTCTCTCTCTTTTTCTTTTCTTTTTTTTTTTTTTTTTTTTTTTTTAATAACGACAAAGAACACCGATCAAAGTAACGAATAATTATTATTATTTATTATTATAGAACTAATAAACATTATGACACGGACCATGAGTTAGATCGTCGATTAAAAAACTTTTGATCGAATACCAGTTACAAACGTATCTGGTAATTAAAATCGGTTAACGGTGAACGCCAATTATGTATGTCCTACATTTATACATACGTATATATATATATATATATGTGTGTGTGTGTGTGTGTATGTGTGTATATGTAATATATACATACTTATCTATACTTAAAAGAATGCTTTGTACCGAGGGAAGTTACTTTCATTATGATTAATATCATGTCTGATTTAATCTCATCCTTTTTTTTTTTTTTTATTTTTTTCTTTTCTTTCTTTTTCTTTTTTTCCTTCTTTTTTCACACGTTCCGTTTGATTACAACCGTGAAAGAATATACATTTATATATATATAAAAATAATAATATTATTATACATAATATTTCGTCCTTTTTGTCATTGAAAATAAATTCTATCGAACAAATTGATTTTGAAATATCATTTAGAATATCTTCGTTTGATCGTGCAACGGTAAGTCTAATATTTTTGTTTTTCTTTTCTCTTTTTTTTTTTTTCTTTTTTTTTTTACGACGTAGTCGATTTGAAAAGTAAAATTAGGACAACGACGATACATCGTCTCGTTTGATCCTAAAGACATTAGGATCGATGAATGTTAGACGATGCGCTCGTTTCAATTTGAGAAGCATCTAATTTCATTCGGATATCTTTACACGCTCGATATTAGAGATTAGAGTTATTCAACAAAATAACTCGACTTAAATTACGAAAAGAAAAAAAAAAAAAAAGAAAGAAAGAAGAGAAAAGAAAAAAAAAAAGAAAAAAAAAAAGAAGAAGAAAATGGAAACGAACAAATTTATTCCTTACTTTTTAAATTAAATAAATTCTCATAATTTTTTTCCCCCTCCCCTCACCCTCCTTTGGGAATAATAAATGTATAAAATATAAACGTTAGATTTTTCTCAAACGAAATTAGAAATAAAGAATTAACTCCAACCTCGATTTAAACTATTAAAAAGGGAAGGAAGAAAAAAAAGAAAAAAAAAAGGGAGTCAAGCAAATTTATTACTTTTTTAATGAAATGAATTCTCATAATCTTTTTCAATCGAAATTAGAAATGAAAAATTAATTCCAACTCGATTTAAATTACGAAAAAGAAAGAAAAGAAAAAAGAAAAAGATAGAAATGAAGGATTGAAGAAATTTATTCTTAACTAAAATAAAACGAAGAAATTTTCAATTCTCATCATTATTTTTTTCTCTCTTTCATTATAATAAACGATATAGAAAGAAAACATTAAGGATTTATCCTCGAAAATAATCTAATATCGTGTAGGATTTTATAAAGAAAAAAAAAAAAAAAAAAAAAACAGAAAAAAAAACAAAGAAGGAAATAAAATCGGAATAAATGAAAATAGAAATATGCGTATTATTTCTTAACCTTTCAAATCGAATAATAAAGTAAATAGAATATGTATGTAACTAAGTAACATTTCTAAATATACGTAC